TTTACGTTTTCCGGTTTTAGCTCACAATTAAAAAACATTAAAAAATTTTGAATTTGTAACAAAAAATAGAAGTTTCTTCAAAACGAGGTTAAAATTTTCTCATTGTTAGTGATACATAAACATTACCGCAGATTTACAAATATCAAAATTCATCGGTAGTCTTGCGCAATGACGGCCTCAGCGCCTGATTGACTAACCTCCTTTTCAACCAGAAAGTAAGGAAAGAGGACAGTGAAGTGGACGAAGGGAAAGAGGGTTTCTGCATTATAAACGAAGCTGTAACTTTATGCTTCTTTAACTTTTTTTTATCTTCAATGAGTCAGTTTGTAAAGGCTTTCTTTGGCAGTGTAGACCTTCAGCTTGTTATATGCCAGTACCAAATTCTAGTCAGGCTTGCTTGCAATTCAGTTTTGTGCAACCAAGTGTTTTGCACACAATATATTAAATAGTTTACGAGACCAGAAGGTAAATTAGCTCCAGTACTTTAATTAACTGAATGAACTTCTTGAGATGCTTGCACAGAACATTCTAGAGGATTCTTTTGACGATCACAGATTTTGGTAAAAAGTGAGGGTTAACGGAACGCTTTTACCAGAAGCAATCACAACAGAGGTAGGGTGGCAGTGCAGCAGTGGTGTTTCGAAGCTATCAAATAAGAAACAAGCATACGTTTCGGCGATCCACTAGAAAGATAAAATTTTGGACCACTTGTCTACAGATATGCTCGAAAGGTCGAGACGCAATGGCCAATGGCGATTAAGATCAAAAAAGATGGTGAAGAAGTATACTTGCTGAAGGCAGTGGAGTTTATCCTGCCAAGATTCTCAAGAAGACGGTAGATAAACAGAGAGTCAAATGTTAAATTTGTCGTTTTTGGTTCATTCTGTTGTCGTTTTGTTGTCTTGCTGTACGTTCAATTAATCTCCAGTTCTTTCCAGAAAGGGCCACGCTTTCTAATTTTATTCCAGCAAAGGCTTATTTGTTCATGACCTGTTTTTTCTACATCAACGCCTGTCATTATACATCGACATCAATTTCGCTGGTGTATATGCGGACGACGGCGAAAGACATGTAGAATCAGTGAGGATCTGAGCGAATCTCCACTGCAGGAACCCGCCTCTTTTTTTTTATTTTATTCGTCAGTAAAAAAGATCAAGCAATATTATGTTCCAGAAGAAGTTATAACGTCTGACTGTTGGGCGACATACCGTACTGTCAAGAATATCTCGGGCAGGTACCAGCACCAGACTGTGGATTGTCCACTACAATATTGATTTCCACGCATGTACAAAAATCATCAATTCTATATGGCAGAAGCTCAAGAAGGGTCATAAGTTGCTGCACAAGACAGAAGGAGCATTTTTAGACTCATATGTGCTTGAATTTGCATGTGAAAAGCTATACAAGGATAACGTGCTATATCACCACTGGTTTTGATCAGTGCGAAACCACCCAGCACCACGAGACTTTAATAAAAGTTTGAGCCCTCCAAATAGACGTCCGATCAGCAGCAACAAAACAGCCCAATTTTGCAAAGCCCCTCACAGTTTTTTCTTCTTCTCTCAAACTAACTAGTCTTTTGAAACCGAAGACTACATGTAAAGTAAATGACAGCAGCTCTCAGCGGACATGAACCGTTGTCTTCGTTGTCGTTGTACCGTTGTCTTAAGATTTCATATTTAACATTGCCACATACTTGAATGCTTGCTCCAGCTCGCTTCTGAAAGACTACATAAGTTCATTTTCTTTCTCACTACCAAACTATCTTTATGAAACCGCTACCTCTCAACTTACTTTAGATTGAGCACTTGAAAAGTAATGTATCACGCCCTCAACAAGCTTCTAACGCTGATGGTCTTATTACCACCTGAAGGACCGAGAGGCTTAGCACGGTCGACGTATTCCTCCAACTGCTTGGACTGCCACATTGGTGCCATCATCGCTTATCTGGGACAGGCTTTTTTTTGAAGGAACCTCCTCCAAATACATTTAATTGGCTCTAAAATTACAAGAACTCTGAATGCGTTTCATCAGTCAATAGCAAATTAACCATTTTTCCTGGCGTAAGTAACTATTACTGCTCTACGTGAAAAAGGTAAAACAAGCAAAATTTTTGTGAGAATTCTAGTCACTTGAAAAGGATTTCTAGAAACTGAAGTACTTCTTTGAAAATAATAGCCGTCTAGTAAGTTTTTACAACAAAGAATACTTTGACTTTTTGTTTTTGGTCTTATTTTCTCTATTTTTAAACTTATGAAAATTATATGTAACTAGTATTACATTATGCAATTAATGCAATAACTGAGAAGTGTTGGACGAATGAAACGGTAAAATTTACGGCACGGAAGAATTCGCCGAAAATATTCTTACAGAAGTTCAGCGTGCACAATGCACTCTGAGGGCTACAAGTAAACGGTTCATCGTTTGAAGAACGGCGCAACGTGTTTTTAACTGATTTAAAAACAAGTTGCTAAATTTCCTGATGTCACAGACTTTTATTGCTTGTTATATAACAGATACAAGTACTAAAAGGGAAGTGGTTGAATGTAGGATTAAACAGTGATATACTGTGATTCTGTTAGGGTTTGGACGGACGGTGTAATAATTCCAAAAATCCAGATTTTTTGAGGGATAAACCTGATTTACTAACCAGGCGGTTGGAACGTTAATTCCAATGAAGCTATAAGAATTATTCAGATGAACTGGAGTATAGACATAGGAGTACGCGACTACAATCTACGGAAATATCTACAACAGTGTAGTGGTTTTGAAAACGCTAAGAAACTTTGATTTAGAGTTTGTGCATCATATGACAAACATCTTTTAAACACTACTTATATGATGAGAACTTGTACAAAAATAAGTTTGTCTAACACAGGTTTAATTTTTTTTTTTGCTTAAATCTACCTCTGCTTACTACGTCTCGTAAAATTTTTGAAATTTCAATGTCTTTGCACTAAAACTTATAGTACACCAAAGTTCTTCTAGCAAAAAAAAACTGTTGGTTTACAAAAAAATTTGTTAGAGTTTGAAATTTCTGTTTACGTTATAAAAAGTTTTCTAAAAAAAACTGAAGCAATTTTTTTCACATCTTTATTTATTGTTTCTGTCAGATAAAAATGGCAATTTTAGGAAACGTAAACGAAGAGTGATGAAAAGTGCAAACGCTATACAATTATTGAACCATTTGAAAACGAAACAAAATTATTGTTTGCGTTCAGTATTTCAAATCTGTTTGTTGCATCTCGATTCATCATGTTTTTTCCTGTTTTCAATCTAACCGTACTTAAAGCTACTGTGTTTAAATTTTTGAAAGAAATTTGCTGGATCTTTTGACATTAATTGTAGCTTATAGCTGTAGTTTGATAGAATTTGCACTGATGCAGTTTTGCAGATCGAGAGTTTCAACTGAGTGTCAACTTTACCTTTTCTTCCTGTAACTTTTACAAAGCGACATTAATATTTAACTCTTTCATTTTCAATTTTTCCTTTTTTTTTTTTTTTTTACATAATCCGACTGACTGAGGTAATTTTAATGTTGTATATTAGCTGCATTTTACGTTATTGTGACGCCATTACAAAAAAGTCATTTGATAAAGAGATAAGAAAGGAAAAGAGAAGTATAAATTACGGTTTATTATATATATTCACCTTCAAACTAGTGACTTCAGCCTTTATTTTATTTATGTATTACTAAAAAAATTTGAGTAGAAAATTATTTTTAGTAAACTAAATGCTCAGGTTTTCTGCTCTTCCTTCTAAGGCATACTTAAGATCGCGTAGCATACCACGGAAATATGTTTTTAGAGATTTAGAGATTCTTTGAGAGTACTGGTGGGTAATATAACTTGCGCTTAAACGTTTATTCATAATTGCTAGAATAGGTAAAGAGAAATCATCGAGGAATGTTAGACTGTTTGAATAATTTACTGAAGCCATCATTAGAAGAACTTTAAAAAAATTGCTTTTTTTTTCTTGCAGTTTGATTAACAAAGTTTGGCATATAAATGACAGAAAATACCACAACTGAAGTAATTAAATGGCTATTTTGAATTAAAAAATTTAAAAGTGTACTTCCTTCTAAACGCTCTTTTTAACTAAAACAACGTAGTATAGACAGTTCTCATGTGACTGTCACATTTTTTAATTTCTTCCGCTGAATGTTTCAAACAATTGTTGATAAAAAATGAAGTACAGATATCCAAACTGGGGTGATGTGTTATATTTTTTTGTGCTAAGACTATTCTTTTTATAATCAAATGTCTTGTTTCATTTAGATGTTTTAAACATTACTCAACGATGATAGGCTAGAAAGAAAAACAAGTTTTCTGGAAAAGTACGTACAAAAATTTTTAAAAAAAAGAAAACCAGTTTGAGCTTTCAATTGAATTTTTTATCTTATTTGCATCTTTTTATGCAGTCATAAGAAAAATTTTTGTTTTCTAATTTGCTCAGACATGCGCCACATAATTCTCAGAATATGCTCGTCACTGTACTGTTATCACGTTGTTTTTACCAACGTTTCAAACATAAGGTCAGTTTCCATAATAACAGGGTATGACGTTCCTCGATTCTAGGAGATGCATTGTTCAATTTCCCATGACTAGTTACCTTTTAATTTTTAAAAATAATATCAAGATTTGTACTTAATTGTATTAAGCATGTATGGCCTCTTTGATATCAAATAACTCTTTATGTTATTAATAGGCAAAAAGTCAGGACCAGAGTCAAGCAAAATAGTCAGAAGACACAAAAATTTTGATATGTAGTTATAGATGAATAAGAATGATATACCACTACTTTTAAAACTTATGAGATAAGCTAATAAAATGCAATTTTTATTACTCAGCCTGTATTATAAAACTCTTTAAAAAGAGTGGTGCATAAAGATTAAAAAACTTCTATTTTAATAAAATAAAATTTACAAGTAGCACCTCTTGTTACTTCACAATGATGAAGTAATACGCTGTCGACAACAACAATTGGACCATTTTACAAAGATGCCCAATTTTACAGATTTTCAAAGTATGAAGGAGCTTTTCGTGTTTTTGGCACTTCCATTGATTGCTCTAATGGTAGCGATTGGAGCAAACGGTAAATTGGCTACTTTTTTTGTTTCGAACAGAAAAACACAATGTTATAACAAAAGAACCTAAAAAAGCATTGCGTAGAATAACTGATTGCAAAAAAGTAAAAGAAAACCACCACAACGACAAATACACATTTTATAGAAATAAAAATAAACCGAAAAAGTCCCTAATCCCACCATCGTTTGCATTTTCAGGACATGGAGACCACGAAGGTCATGACCATGGCGATCACGACCATGGTGGTCACGACCATGGCGATCACGACCACGGTCATGATCATGACGATTTTTGAAAATAAAATTAAGTCGTGGAAAGAATCAATAAAGCTGCACATTTTATGAGAAAAATTAAATTAGATGAGCCGAAAAAGTGCTAATTCCTGCATTTTTTCATCTTCAGGACATGGAGACCACGGAGGTCATGACCATGGCGGCCATGACCATGGTGGTCACGACCATGGTGATCACGACCATGGTGATCACGACCATGGCGATCACGACCATGGTGATCACGACCATGGTGATCACGACCACGGTCATGGATGGGGTCATGACCATGACCACGACCACTGGGGTGGTGGTCGTCCTCGGGGCTGGTTTGGACGCGGGGGAGACGGAGGAGGCGGAGGTGGTGGTGGTGGAGGCATGTTTATGTCCAGCCAATCCTCTAGTAAGTCATACAACTTTTCTTAATCGTAACGATTGAACTTTATCTAAAGGTTGTAATGCTATCTTTATTGGGTAAAAAAAGAAATTTTTTATCTATAAATAAGAGGTTTTTTTTTCAGGTGGTCATGGACCCTGCATCCGTAAGTATTATATTATCATGAAATATTTCTTAGTGAATTTATTTTCAAAGCTACCTGTATTACGAGGTACCACCGTTCTTTAAACTGTACTATTAATTTCAGGAAATGTCCTCGGCAGTTTATTTGGTCAACCAAAATACATTTGTCCATGGGGTCTTTCATGGACCGATGAGTATCCCGCCTCTTACGGGTACAGTAGTTATAACGGTTATAACACTAACGGTTACAGCTCTACCGGTTATGCAACTAATAGCTATACCTCCAACCCACACGGGACTTACAGCTATGCTCCTAGCAGCTACAGCTATCCTGCATCCAGTTATTCGGCTCCCACTTATTTGTCATACTCCCCTACAAGCTACAGCTATACACAGCCAAATTATGCGGCTATTAACTATGCAGGTTACAGCTACTCACGACCTAATTACGTGGCTACCAATTACTTAACTCCTAGTCATGTTTCTCATTCCTATAATCCTACTAGCTACCAATATGGATGAGTTTTTATTTTCTCAGTAGCTGCTTCTGCGGCAATATAAATAAGATGACACTCAATCTGCACTTGCTCGATCCACCTTGTGTATAATATATATCAATAAAATATTTAGTTGATTGACTGTAATTATATGACATGGATACTTATTGGTATCACAAACATAAAGCCTTGAAAATTTTTGATTTATACTGTTTAGATTGATCTTTTGGGTACCGTACCAGAATTTTGATGATTATTATCTGCTATATTACATGGAAATGTACTAATAATAAATTATCTTGTCATTTAATTTTAAAAAATTTTGTCCAAATATGAGAAGAAAAAAGAGTTATGATATATAAATTAAGCTACCACGCTTTTATGCATCACTTCAATTTTACCTTTTATAGCCATTTAGCAGCCTCATTTGTTAACTCTTCTATCACTCATAAATGATTGCATTAAGCCGTCGCAGTGTGTTAGACAATAATAATTTTTAACTAAATAAACTTGTAAACTTTGAATAAAGTAAGCATGCAACTGAATACAAGTATAAAGACTGTTTTAAAATCTATACACAACAAAGCTTGGTCACTTTTAGAAATTATTGAGAATTTAGCATCACAGATAACAGATGGTTGCTAAAGGTGTAAAGTGAAATTCTGACCATATAAGATGGTAGTGATACGAAAAAATCGGTAAATAATGATTTACGTCACTGTAAATTTTTATAAAAGAAAAACTAATTTTCTTTTTGCATTTTTTACCAGCAACGAACCTGCAAAAATGCGTTCCGTCTGCCGAGTAAAATTTATTTGCAGCAAATAAATTTTTTTTCCAGCAAAGCGCATAAAAATTATAATTTGGTATCTTAAAGTATATAGTACGCAACTTCAAAGCACAGAAAATTATTGTTCCTGTACTAAAAAAACTTAAAATTCACTTTCAAGACAAAAGTGGTTTGAACAGTTAACTACAGTGGTAATTAAAAAAATACTAAATTTGACTACAAATACCAAATCGAAAAGTCAGTTTGCCGGTTGAAGAGTCGTGCCGCCTAAAAGTGAATAAGCTACTTATCAATTAGATATCCAAAGATTGGCAATTGCTTCGCGTTCTCAAAAATTATTATTGATGATTTTTTAATCTAACAGCAGTTTCAGGTCGCTTTAGCTACGACCTTCAGGATGTGTAAAAAGTGGCGCATAAAGATACCAAACGTTGCATACAAAGATCCATATGTTAGACCATTTCGTCGGAAATGAAAATTCAGCTGAGCCAATGTTATCAGCGTAACTTTTTCCCTGTTCTGCTTGAATAAAGTCGACATTATTTGATCAACAGACTCGTAACTTCAATTTATTTTGATACTTAATGAGATGTATAGATGTAAACTGTAAAAATTAAAAAAGTGTAGAAAATTCAAAAAATTTAATAAGAAGAATTTTTTAAATTAATATTGGCCTGATTACTGTTGCTACACCTTGTATGCTGTTATAAAATAGTATTTTTTGTGATCGCATATCTACAGCATCAATGAATGCCTCTTTTATATCCGCTGTTTTACCTTTTCAAGAAACCGACACTTCAGCAAGTAGACTGTTTTTTTTTTTTGTTTGGGCTCTGAACAAGAACAATTAAATTTAAACTACACTTCTACAAATGTTGTTAGAGTGGCAGTCACTTTTATGTACCTTATGGGTACGTCAAAGACACCAAGAATAAAAAAAAACAAGGTTTATTCTATTATCTTTGAGCAATCTGTATAACTGATCTTTGTCGACTGTGCTCAGAGCTTATCTGAATTGACTAAAGAGCAGCAGGCTTTTTCATCTCTTTCTCTCAACAAAAAAAAAAGTTAATTGACACTTTTACCACACTTCTACAAGATTATATTTTTAAATTTTTGTAATTGACTGCTTACATGAGAACTCTCCAAATTTTCAAGCAAGTAATTCATCAAAGTGTGCTCAAAATAAGTTTTAATACCTTTTAGAAAGCATTATTAAACCTACTGTCTAAGAAGTTATGTTACAGTTCTTATTTTTGAGCTACTACATAAGGCTACTTTTTTGTCATTTACGTAAAGACAAAATACTCATTCAATTAAAAAACCTTTTACTCAAATGCTTTAGTCTTGAGATATTTACGAGATATATCAATTACTAGAGTTATTTTTATTCAATTAAAGTCAAAGCACGATTCAAAAAGTATCTTTGCAGATATTATATTACAAAAGATCAAAAAATTCACATTTGTGAACATTTTTTTTGTGGAGGACAATAATGTAAGGTAAAAAACTAGATGCAACTGTACTGGAATTGTTTATGATTCAAAATTCTGCAGCAATTGCCTGAAAGATAGTTCTGTGTGCGAGGGTTGATATACTTCGTCAAAATAATGTTTGTTGAAAAGAGTCATCAATCTTGCAGCTGACTTAAAGTATTATTATTAACTCAATTTTTTTGAGTACATATAAAATTGTTCTGTTAACTTCAGTTAGAAATAATATTTTGTAACTTTGTAAGTTACGTGCTAAACTATTTGCTTTTTAAATAAACTAACAGTTTCATTTTATAGATAATACTTTTGTGCGTTAAAATTATAAATGTATGTAGTAGGCAACCAAATAAGAGTTAAAAAAAGACAAAGAAAAATTATAAAAAAATTTTTATTTTTTGATTCTTACACTTTCTTATTAGATATTCACATATAGAAGCACAATGATATTGCTGTTGAATAAAATTCGTTTAATTGTTCACAGAGTTGATAAAAACCAGGTTTTTTCTTTGTAAGAAAACCAAACAACTTGAATTTGTTGACGTTCTTTAATGGGATTAGAATTCTGTGAAAATAAAGAATGCTCTTCTGTCAGGTTTACCGTCATCTTTAATAACACTCACTGGATGTTGGTATTGTGTTGCCTAATTCACGTCCATTATCAGAAGAAGAGGAAAAAAAAAAAAGAAATGAAAAGTTTCAGATCATTGAAACTGTTGAAATATACAGTCACTAGTTTCCATAAATTTGAAATTCACTGCCGTTACTGCCTTGCTCCTGCCAATACTCTAGAATCGGTGAAATGATGAGCCTACTGACTGTTACTTCAATTATTTTCATGTTAATTCGTGAAGGTTCTGTTTTATGAAATATAGAATAAAAGTTTTAATAAAAGAAAATTTTTTCAACTCATTAAAAAAGTTGACAGTAAAATATTTTTAGCTATATGAATTATTTTATAATATGACATTTTCTTCCCTTGATAAAATCATTAACACTGGCTGATTGTAAACCTATATTTTTGATTCTTTTTTAGGCAATGTAAATGGTGAACGCCTAATACAGCTATCTTCAAGTAAGTAAAAATTGTAAAATAATCTTTTAGTTTATTTTCGTGCTTCAATACATTATGCTTTATGAAATACAGTCATTAAAATAATTTGTTAGAACTCAATTTTTTCCTGAGAATATCAACCAATAAATACGTAATTGGAGTATCAAACTGTTAAATTACAGTGTAGATTTTTTACTGTAGGTAAAGAAGTGGCCACCTGGTTAAGAACAGCGCTCGGCTTTGATTCATGTAATCCGAATAATACATACTATGATTATTATGCTCAACAATTTGGGTATGCAAAATTTGCCGACACTCCACACTGCAAATGGATAAGATTCGTCTTTGGTGATGCCGACGAAGACTGAGCTATGTTTTTCACAGAACTAGAAAACAGTTCGCTGCTCAACTTCAAAATGAAAAAAAAAAAAAAAACGGTCTTTTAAACGATGAAAAAACTCTTTAGAGTTTTCCTTGGTCTTCGCTTGTCTGTTTTTGGTAAGAATAGGACTTTAAACTTTTAATAATTAAAACACCTTCTTATAAGTCAATAATAATACTTTCATCTAATTTTCTTGAGAATTCTCTATTACCACGTAAATTATTCACTTCTACTTCTACGGCTAGATGCATTGAAGAAAGTATTAAAAGTGATCCTAATAACCCTTCTAATACGAATCTTGTTATTTTGGTCTACTCTAAGCTTCAAATAAAGTGTGAACAGAAAATTATTGTGAAGAAATTCTGGCCAATTGTTAAAACAAACAAAATTATTTTTTTCTGCTGTTTTCAAACCTAACTGCTAAATGTACCTAAAGAATAATATTTTTTAATTGATTATTTACTGTATACTGTCCTCATACGGTTCCTATTCTCTCCAATAGTAACTTAATGGTCTTTTTTTTTTTTTTTGTTCGAAGAAAAGTCTTTTATTCAGATGTTCACTTCAAATGCCCTTACAATGTCCCAGTGAAATTTTCTGACATGAAAGTCAATGAATGTTACTCATGCTATAAAATTAATACCTACATAATAATCGTTATTATTACCAGTGCTAAGAACAGTTGAAGAGTTTTAAAATATCAGAACCTTTAAATTCTTTTCAACAAAACATTTTCACCGTAAGGTAGGTGTTGCATTGGTTTCACCATTTACATATCAGATATATTATACAACAAAGAACCTTCCCGTGCAGACGAAACACAGCATTCTAAACAACGCCCAGAAGCAATTAGTGGTTTAAACTTCATTTCGATGCTGATATTAAGCGGCATCCTGGCAAGGGGACCGTCACTAAAGCATACAACGACCTTCCTCGTACGATATGATTATCGTCGACAATTTAATAATGTCTTCTCACCTTTCAACACTCATTGAAATGCAAAATGAATTTTTCAGAAGAAAAGTAGGACTAAACCCAAATCCCTCTTTTATTGAACTCCTCTCCTAAACAATTACGAAAAAGTCGAGCAGAACTCTCTCAAACGTCAACATAAAACCAATTAGTAAGAACCAAAAAAATATAACAGAATGTGCTTTGCGCCATAAAACCTCAAATTCGATGTAATCGCTTAGAAAACTTGTGGTACCAATTTTGTTTAAGAAAGCATTATTTTATTATCTGTTGACACGCTCTTCTTTGCAAATTACCGTAAGAAAAAACAGAAACAAAAAAATTTCTCGTTAAAATAGTGCTCTGATTCGCGGCAGAAACTATAAATAATCTCAAAAATTTCGTATTATTATTATTAATTTTGTTAGATATTTTACAATAAAAATTCTTTAGATAATTAGATAAAAAGAAAAGTTTCTTTCTCATTTAAACACAAAAAATTTTTTAAAGCTTCCATTAAACACCTGTTTTATTTAATTTAGAACTTTTTACATGCGTCAAAACTTTTTTGACGCATAGAATGCAACTCAACCCCCCCGCCAAAACCGTCCCACTACCTACCGCTGAGTGTCTTATGTTTATTTCGCCTATGCATTCCACAAATTAAAAATTACTGAGTGAACTTATATCAAAAAACCACCAAAGTCTACTGCTAACTCACTTATCAAAAACATCATTTAAAACTAATGGGGCTTCTTGATTTGCTGAAAAATCCGAAAAACTTTAAAGTCGCCATGCAAGTACTTTCTGCCCTCTTCAGACCCTAAATCTGCGTCCCCCTAGGCCGAAATGAGTTTTATGATGAGTGTCTAAGGCTAAAGACACCGTCTTAGCAAACGCTTCACCTTCACTGTTCACTAGATGTCAACCGCGTCACTGCCAACTTCTAATAAAGATTAGCAACGGTCTCATTACGTCATCCCCACAAATAACAATTCCCAAATTCGAAGTAGGACAGAGAGCCTAAGAACCAGTATTCACAAAGTAAAAGACAAAACCAACATCTAACGCTGTTCTGTGCTACAAAGTTCACAAAAAAAAGAAAAAAAACGATAGTCATCTGCCCCCGTCCCTCAAAAACACGCAATCCTCACATTGCAGGTCAGTTCCCCATGGCTTGAAACTGACATAGCTTAAAAGTTTTGCATCTGTTGGTTCTATTCTTTTTTCATCATTCTTGTCTTGAGCAATTCACAAGCACTTGGGTAAGAACAGCCTTTTATTCGTCTCCATAAGGGCCATCTATTCAGTTACAAAAAATTGAAAGTTTTTTCAAAAGTTTTTTGAACAGAAAACGTTCTCCTGAATTCTAGACCCAAAAACTCCATTTTTCGATTCATTCATTCAAAAATAAAATCTGTCACACCACAGCGGTCATTTTCCAGCACTTCCCTGATATTGAAAGCTGAGTAACGATATAGTTCCTTCAATTAGAAGAATAAGTTCTTATTGTTAATCTGCGACACAAAATACAACATATCAATCCGTAGCTGATACAAGTTCATTTGAGCTTATTCTATTTTACTTCGCGGCAAAAAAAGCATGACAAAGAAAATAGTTTCAATCAAATCACATTACAAAAACTTCCAATTTGAGCCTTCTGGAATTGCAACTACAGCAACCACTAAGCAAAGAAGTTTCTTCAAAATAAGACCAACAATATACAACCAGCTACAATCTAACGACCTTCAAGTCGCAACACTCATCTAAACTCTTTCCAGTTTCCTCGTCTTCAAGCGTCTTGAGATCAATATCTAGCTTCATGTAAGCTCCGCGAGCCAGCGAGTTTATATTGACGCATAAACATCCATCAACTACCTGCAACTTTGTAAATACGATCTAGTGAGCCCGAATAAATATGAAGAACGCAAGAAACAAAAAGCAAAAGATAGAAACGTCAACAAAATGTTTTGAAGCTCGTAGGAAACCAAGAATAAAGAGTCTATGTCTAAATTCATACTAAAACAGCCCGCACCTGGCCTATAAAACGTAAATGAAACAAAAAATTGCAATACGTGATAAAACACAAAAATAAAAATACCTTAATCATCGGAGCCAACATAGAAGACAAGATCATTATATGAGGAATGTTTGAAAGTTTTGAAGCCTTAATCGACTTGGGAGTAGATTGAGCAACGTCGTGTGGAGGCGGATATAATGGATACAGAGATCTTTGTCTTAAAGTAAATTGTTTGCGATACAGTTCAAGAAGAAATATGCACAAAATACTATCGGTTTCTGACTACCTTATCAAATGGCTAAACAGTCGAGCTATTCGATCTTCATTTTCACTGTTTTCAGAAAAATGTATTTCCTCGCGGCCCAAATACTGAAGAATTTCAGAAGTAGAAATCGCAAATTCAATCCCAGCAATTTTCAGCACGGCAGGGTCAGGTGGAAACACCACGTCCTGTATTCAAAAAAATTTTACAACCAGTAAAAATAAATCAACATAGACTTCCATTTTGTAATATACCTCCCGCAAAACCTTTTTGCACTCTTTGCCGACTTCAAATGGAGCAACTGGATAGAATGGCAAAGATACAGCATCCTTTCTGCTCGGAAGAAGTATTAGCCTTGTGTTTGATCTAAACGTTTAAAATTTAAAAGTAAGAAGAAAGATAATGCCAGATTAATCATATCATCCAATTCTCATCCTCACTTTCCTGAAAAGAATTAATTACGACACAGTTACACAGAATGTTGCAAGATAGATATAGAGGCCGTATGGTTAGTCAACAAGAACATAAAATTTACTGTTCCAAGACTTCGCATGTATTAGCCAAAAGGCTTTCGAAGGTTTCTGTAAATGTTCGCGTGAGAGTGGGCGATCGTGCTGCTTTGGAAGTTCTATCAATGAATGGACCCATCTAAATAATTCAAAAATCCTGATATAAGCGTGAGGCATTGTCACAATAAATAAACTTGAGTAAAACAACAGCTGCGCTCCTCCAACCTGCGTAATAAGTTATTTTTGCGAAAAAAATTTCGAAATTAAACAGGTAAATAATTGACATGAAAGTGCCTCAAACGTCCATAATATGGCTAGAACTTTTTTACTACAGGATACTGTAAGTAATAGTTTCACTCTTCAAAAATTAAACCCTAACTAGATTCTCCGTTTCATAGTACTTAAGTTGTTTGAAAGGTACTTAACAGAGCATTTAAACTACCCTCCACTAGCAGTTCAGTACAATGAAAATAACATATTCTAAATACTTAGTAGCTCTAAGAAACTGCAGAATAGAGAAACTGCTTACTAAGATAAGGACGTCTGGAGACTGTTTATTTGCTAATTCTAGAAGATCATACAATTGTTCGTACGATAAAGAGTCCGCAGATGTAAACGGTCCTGCTGCGCACCAGAGAGAAAGGTTATCTGCAATAACAATGTTTGATAACAAAGTGCTTTAAAAAACAAACTTTCCTGTCGAAAAAACAAAAAGCAAGTAGCAGAAACTAACCAATTCCTCGCTGTGAATTTAGAGTGGCCCTAGACATCAATGGAGGTTCAAATATTTCCGTTGGTGTAAACGAACAACCCAATTTATTAGTACCTTTCATAGCCACTACCTAAAAAAGTTCCTAAGTAATGCCGGAGATAATGTTTGCTGCAATCCAAGAGGATAAGTCATAGTTAAATAAAACTAAGACATGAGAAAACTGCGAATTTTACTGCACCTTTCCTGGAAAAAGCGAATAGGAAGATAGCTTTGAAAGATCAACACTAGCAGACGAAACATTCTCGTCCAAAGTTTGAATGCTACAGGTAGAAGAGGTTAGACGGTCGCCGCTTTCATCGAAAATCTGGCCACATATAGTGAAAGGTTCCTGAATTATAAATAAATTAATCACCAGCCAAATACTATTTAATTTAATACAGTTTCATACAATCGTTAAAGCTAAATTATTTCGACACCTACAACCAGTAATAGTTTTGGTTTTAAATTTGTCAACTAAACGATATCCTCGGCAACCTGCCAACATCATTAAAGTCATAAAAAAAAGAAAAACAAACTGAAGAGACGGTGTCGACCGGCTGGAATGAGAGACCTTCGTTATTCTTGGCGATTTCGTTGCTCAACAATTCTATACTACAACAAATTTCTGAAATATCAAAGAATCTATTAAAATTTGAAAAAAACAGAAAAATTTTTAGAAATATATTGAACTAGTATGCAAAGTTAAGAAATGAAAAAGTGACATAGAGAACAAACCCTCTATTCTATCCATGACCTTCTCAGACCCGTAATTAGAAAATGAAGAACTAAGACTAGTAGGAGTGCATAACTCGACTGAAATTTTCTTCACCTCATTCTTCTGTCTTGCGTCGTGTAAAAAATGCTTCCCACGGTGACCCAACACCACTTTTCCTTTATTCTTTCTCTTTTGGTAAGCTACGCTTGAAACAGCAGTTCTGAAAAGCTACAGCTGCAAAATCAGCAGGTGGGCTTGAAAAAAAGGTAAGACACAGTGACGCTTCTCGTGACCAAAAAAGATATATTTATCGAGATGGTCACCTGTCAGGAGTGAACTTCAAATATTTTTCATCTAAAGTTGTATCTGCCTCAAGTTCTCTGACATAAGACGACGCATCCATTTCAGGGCTATCATCCCTTTCAAAAACAATCTTCTTCTCTCCAAGAACAGTCCTAAACAACAACAAAAAAAAAGAAATAAAAGTGTCTTTGCCGTGAAAACACTGGCAATGATTTATATTAAAGAATTAAATCAAACCTTGTTGATTGCGACACAGAATGAGATGGATCATTCTCAGTTCGAATAGTTCTTTTGGCCAACACCTACAATTTCGGTGTATAATACTGACTTTCTGGATGGCAAAACAATTAAAGTAAAACAAGAGTCGTCATAGTAATATTTATCTCATGGAATAATAAATTAAATTGACAAAGATCAAACTGAAAGATTTTACCGATTTCTCATACAGTTCAAGAAATAAAAGATCTAGGCAGGAACGCTTAGCATTTGTGGCGAAGGCAATTACATCGCTAATGAGGTCATCTGCCGTTAAGATATAAGTTTGCGACAATAAATTCACTGCAAATTTCAAGCTGCACCAAAAGACACCAAAAATTGTATTTTGTTAAAGAAGAAATAGTTGTCTTCATAAACGACAGAAACTGAAACGCAAGAAAATTTTGATCCAGACTGAATGCAAAAGAAGCTTGCTTCAAACTTTGGAACTGAAGTATACTATTAATGCAAGTGAAATGCACTACTTTTTGATACGAACTCTTCATCCGTCTCATCGAAGGAATAACCAAAGTCCACGAGTTGTTCTGAAATCCATTCCGCATTCATCTCCCCAATACAGTCACCGATGTCCGACATTTTTGTGGATGTACAGAACTGGCAGAACCTCGAAATACTGCAGAATAACGTTTTACTCCTTCAATAAAACTCTGAAACGTTAAAAACATAACAATTGACCATTTTGACAAAGAACTGACGTTACAGGAAACACTATACCGTCACAAGAAAGTATCGTTACTCATAAGTC